ACGATCCACCGAAAAAGAGAAATAAAAAGAGAACGGCATGGGGACCAAGGGGGACAGGGACACCAACAGAATTGCAGTCTTAGTTTCATTCGCAAATGGATCAAGACAAAAAGTTACAAAGATGAATCTTTGCACCCCCTTGTGGAGACACTGGTTATCTGGTTCCCCTCACCCCACACTCCTGACAAGGCTGTTTTCTTGTAACTGTGATCACAGCCAGGCTCAGCCCCTCATCTCTCTGGGCACTCAGGACAGGAAGTCACTCACCCCTATATATGGGGACATCTGAAGCCCACACTCCTGCCCCTCCCTCTTCCAGACCATTTTGGGTAGTAAGCTAAGCGTACTTGGTCTTCCCACAGACCGACCCACAGTACACCTCGGCAGTGACAGAGAACATCAAGGCCTTGTGAGTACCAGCGACCAGGAAAGGTTGCTGGAGGGAGGGCAGCCAGATGCCTGCCTCCCCTAAGAGGAGACCTGCCTGTGGGGGGAGGGGCTTCCCTTCTCTGTTAAAAGAGGGAAAGTGTGTGAGGGCCCCAGCCTTTCCAGAGCCCCAGTGCCTCAGGAGGATAGTGGAGGAGAGGGGCGTTTGCTCAGTGAGCTTTCTGGGCAGGGCAGTCTGGAGAGCTCCCAACCTTCTTTTGCCCACTGAATCTTCTCCCACCTAGGTTCCCCACAGAGATCCATTCTGGGCTCCTGGAAGTCATCTCCCCTTCCCCTCACTTCTACCCTGACTTCTCCCGCCTTCGAGAGTCCTTTGGGGACCCCAAGGAGAGAGTCAGGTACTTATGCTCAGAGTCACCAGCTGTATGTTGGTGCCAGGCCATGTCTCCTTGGAGGACCCTGGCTGGTGGGCCGGGTGGGGCCTACCTGCCTCAGGGGCTTCTCTGTGGCAGTCCCCTGGAGGTGGAGTTGTCTCTGCTTCTAAAGCCCCTCCCCTTGGCCCCCAGGTGGAGGACCAAACAGAACCTCGATTACTGCTTCCTCATGATGTATGCACAGTCCAAAGGCATCTACTATGTGCAGGTCAGCTGGAAGCTCTTCTGCCCACCCTGAACCCTGATTGACTTTGCCCTTGCCTACTCTGCACATGGTCACACTTGGGGGAGGGACCCCACTTCTGCCCTGTTCCCAGCCCCCTACTGTTCCTCCCTGTGCAGCTGGAGGACGACATTGTAGCCAAGCCCAACTACTTGAGCACTATGAGGAACTTTGCCCTCCAGCAGCCCTCTGAGGACTGGATGATCCTGGAGTTCTCCCAGCTGGGCTTTATTGGTAGGCCACCCCGTGCTGGTCCCGTTAGACAGGTGATAGCCCTTCAGCCCACCTATGCCCCTCCATCTCACAGCCCCAGTACCTCACTAGAGAGCCTTGCTGGAAGCGCCCTCTGTGTGAGGATGTCCCAGAGTCCCCAGCCCTGCCCTGTCTTCTTGAACCCACACCTTCCCAAAGTCTGCCCACAGGTTTGCTGTGAGATGCTCCACATTGGCCCCCACGAGGAAGAAGTAGGGTTTAGCAGTGTTTTCCACTCAACCCTTTTCCATGATTCCTGCCCTCAGGGAAGATGTTCAAATCATTGGATCTGAGCCTGATTGTGGAATTCATCCTTATGTTCTACCGAGACAAGCCCATTGACTGGCTTCTGGACCACATCCTGTGGGTCAAAGTCTGCAACCCTGAGAAAGATGCGGTGAGCAGGAGATGCTTGGAACCAGCACCAAGGAGGCGGGCCATCAGCTGCCAGTTCATACTGTGTTCTTGGCTGTGCCTCTTTGGCAAGGAGAGAACACTGCTGGCTGAGGAAATCCCCTGGTTATCCTAAGGAAAGGCCCTATCCTTGGAATCTGGGCTGAGCTAAACCCTAAGGTGTCACTCTCTGTTCACAGAAACATTGTGACCGGCAGAAGGCCAACCTCCGGATCCGCTTCAAGCCGTCCCTCTTCCAGCATGTGGGCACTCACTCCTCACTGGCGGGCAAGATCCAGAAACTGAAGGTGGGTATGCCACAGAGTTTGATAGAGCCCTGCAGAGGCCGGGCTGAGGATGCCACTGATGCCTGCTGCTCTTCTCTAGGATAAAGATTTTGGAAAGCATGCTCTACGGAAGGAGCATGTGAACCCCCCAGCGGAGGTGAGCACAAGCCTCAAGACGTACCAGCATTTTACCCTGGAGAAGGCCTACTTGCGAGAGGATTTCTTCTGGGCCTTCACACCTGCTGCAGGAGACTTTATCCGCTTCCGCTTCTTCCAGCCACTGCGCCTTGAGCGGTCAGTGCTCCCCGGGGAAGAGGACAGGCTGAACACGAGCTAGAGGCCTCAGCATGTATTTCTGGGTCTCTATGAGGGGATTATCTGCCCCCATCACCATCTAACCCCACCATGCCTGTTTCCTTACTGAAAAGCACTCCCCATAGTAGTATTAACTACCTTGTGAGGACTAAGGCAAGCAGAGCTATCTTTAGGTACTCGGTGACAACCATCACCACAGCCTCAGGGGAAGGCCCTGGCTGCCTGGCACAGCCCATGTACTGTCCAAAATGGTGCCCAGTATCCCCCCAGCACCTGGAGGCCCATCTGATCTAGCCTAGGCATGGCCTCTCTGCTGGACCTGGGCAGTGTGCCCAGGCAGTACCTCATGGCTCACTGGCCTGCTTGGCGCCTGCAGGTTCTTCTTCCGTAGCGGAAACATTGAGCACCCAGAAGATAAACTCTTCAACACTTCCGTGGAGGTGTTGCCCTTTGACGTGAGTGTGGTGGGTATGGGTGAGGACTGGGGCTGCCTCCTCCTGGCCAGCCACTCCAGCCCTGTGGCTTTGTCCTCAGAACCCGCAGTCAGAGAAGGAGGCCCTTCAGGAGGGCCGCTCAGCCACTCTTCGGTACCCTAGGAGCCCTGATGGTTACCTCCAAATTGGTGAGTAAGGCAGGGCCTGTGTGGGATGGGCTTTTGGGTGTGGCTTTGTTTTTACTTCTAGGTATCGCCCTTCCACAGGCTCCTTCTACAAGGGTGTGGCCGAGGGGGAAGTGGATCCTGCCTTTGGGCCCCTGGAAGCACTGCGCCTCTCCATCCAGACTGACTCCCCGGTATGGGTCATCTTGAGTGAGGTGAGATTGGCTGGGTGCTGGGATGGGACCAGCCTGCTAGACCATAAGAAGCCCCGTGACACCTGCTCATCCTGAGCCTGACTCTTACAGATTTTTCTGAAAAAGGCCGACTAAATGGAAGGTTTCCAAGGGTGCTCCATGGCCGGCTCTGGAGCCCACGGTTCCAAGGGTGGTGTTGCTGCTGCTGCTGCTGCTGCCACCGCCCCAAAGGACCAGGCATATCCACCCCACCCAAAGGGTTCTGCCTGGCAGGCGGCTCGGGCTGGCCTGGGGTCCACCGCTGGCCCGGAGGCCCCAGAAGCTGGTGCTGCGCCGGGCCGCGAGAGGAGACAGGCGGCCCCCACACTGTGCCTGAGGGCCGGCCTGCTGCCGCCCAAAAAGAACTGAACCGAACCGTTTGCCCCTGGCCGGTCGGCTTGAGCCAGGCCGTTTTAGAAGAGCTTTTTCTTGGGCGCCCGCTGTTTGCGGCGCAAACACTGGAATGCATACACTACTTTATGTGCTGTGTTTTTTATTCTTGGATACATTTGATTTTTTCACGTAAGTTCGCATATACTTCTATAAGAGCGTGACTTGTAATAAAGGATTAATGAAGTGTATGCCTCATAGGTGCTTGTTCTGGCCAGGCACTTGCCTGTCTGCCTCTGTATTTGGCCTATCCCCCATGGCCTCCCACTGGGAGATTCTCCTCCAGTTCAGGCTGACTACTTACTGAAGGTGACTTCGATCTCTGTTGTGCCAGAGACTGAGTCCCAAACCCCCTTTTTACCATGTCAAGTATCCCAGTGCGCTGTTGGCATACCTCAGCATGATCTCATTCCCACTTAGCAGGAAGGTTTTGGCCACTGAGTCAGTAACTGGGGCTTTCATGGACCCAAAGTTGTACCTACCTATTCTATAGGAATCCGCTTCCAAAGCATTCTCTTGTCATCTTGGGGTGGCATCACAGCACCCACCCCAACTATTGTAAAGACCTGAGCCCCTGAATGCTTCAGTAGGGGAGGTGTTAGCCAACTTCTTTCCTGTTCCCCCACCCCCTTTCATGGTGGTGCTCAGTGTCATCCCTGTTCCTCTTCCCTTGGTCTCATGTAGTAGAACCCTGGTATGTGTGTGTGGCAGGGCCAGGAGTTGGGGGTACAGAGGAACTGAGACAGTGAGGCTGCCCTGGAACTCACGGTAGCTCAGGCTGGCCTTCAGTTTATGCCACAGCTTCCCAAGTACTGGAATTATAACCAGGAACCACAGCATCTGGCTCATTTAGAGACTATAGTCTTCTCTAAAATAAATGGGCCATCTCCACCCACCTCAGGGCCTTTGCACACGATGTCAGGCCTGTTTGAGAAGTATTTTCCCTGGCCAGCTAGGATAAGAAAGTCATTTAGAGATGTTTTGTCAGCAACCTTCCTCAAGTCCGGCCCTCCTCAAGCACCCTGAGGTCCACTTCAGAGAACTTATTGCTGACTACATTCCTGGTCAAGCTCACTGCTATGTGGGCCTCCGCAGGGACCGTGAACACCTACACTCATCTGATGTTGGAGATCTAGGGCTGATCAAAAACAGGAACCCAGTTCTCACTTGGGGAAAGACCAACTGATTCTAGTTGTGAGGTCGGGGCTGGAAGTGGAGGACAAGGCACACAAGATCCCAGCAGCTGAGGTTCAGCCTGAGAGGAAAGAGAGCCACAAGCACAGAAAGGAGGGTGAAGGGTGGCTATCTCTGGAAATAAATGTCAAGGCAGAGGTAATGGCACAGGCAAGGTGCTATCTAGAGGAGGGTATATATAGTGAGAGAAGCTCCAATCCAAGCAAGCCCATGCCGCCTCCCAAAGCCTGGCTACGTCGGGGGATGGGGCCCTCGGTAAGCAACCTTCTTCGACCCAGAGAACGTAGGCGGGACAGTCGTGGGAACTTTAATTAGAAACTGAGATTCGGAAGCGGGCACCCCTGCGTTTTGCTCTAAGCTCTTCACCAGTAGCGCTGACTCGGAGGTCCTTCGCCTCAAGCCATCTGCAGGAGGGCCTGAAGTCTTCTGAAGAGCGCTGCCTGTAGCGTGCCGGGGAGGAAGTGGACCAGCAAACCCAGCGCGGCCATCGCCACCAGCAGCCAGAGCGCGCGCGCGCCCGCGTACAGAGGAGCCAGCCTGCGGGCGGATCTCAGCGGGAGTTTGGACAAGGCCCCGCCCCACAGACTTAGACTCCGCCCCCGTCGTGCCAGACGGCCCCGCCCCTCAGGCTCAGGCCCCTCCCACCGGGCTAGACCCGCTTCCTCGGGGAACGTCGGCCCACCTGTGGTCCCCGAAGGCTTTCTTTCCCCGGGTCCCCAGCCGCCGATCACCGCCTCCCACCCGCAGAGCCGCGTCCGGGAGCGACCCTTCCCTGCCGTGCTTTCCCGGAAGTCCGGCCTGAGTTACCTGAGCTGCGCCGAGCGCGCGTATCCCTGGAAGTAGCGGAGGCGCGCAAACAGGTAGAACAGTCCGCACAGGGCTGCGGCGCCTGCAAAAGGCCAGGCAAGCGCGGTGAACACGCGCGCCCGCCACCCGGGGACCACCCCCCGAGCGCACCCCCGCGCCGTCCCGCACCTTCGTGGAAAAAGATGCCGGCGACCCAGAGCGTGGCGAGGAACAGCGGGAAGTACTCGCTGCAGTTCACCCTGCGTGGGACGCGGTGGGTGAGCGCGCGGCCGGACTGGGCTGACACCCGAACCCATCCGGATCCGCCACACTCACTGGGCTCGGAAGACGCGCTCGAACTCGGGAGGTCCAGAAGTGAGTGGCGGCGACACGTGGAAAGCCCTGCGCGCAGAGATCACCTGCAGGGAGAAGTAGGCTACGGCCGTGGGACGTAGGAGTCAGGTGTGGCGCCTAGGGTAGACCCTGTCCCCTAGCCCTCTTCCCCCTGCCTCTCGCTAAGCGACTCTCTTCTAACTCCCTCCTCCGACCTGCCCCATCAGCTGTGTTCTCTGGAGAGGCCCAGTCGGCCTGGCCTGAGGATTGACTGGCGTGGTGCACGCATCAGTAACACCTGTCGGTGGGCGGAGCAACAGGATACTACTTCTGAACTATTTGACTTGCAAAGCACAGGCAAATGCCCACCTCCCGTTCTTCAGGTCTGGACCCCAGTCTTTTAGTTCCTGAGAAGCCAGTGTCCCAGGACAGAATTGGCACCAGGAACAGGAAGCTCACGTCCTGTCACTAAGAGACCCTTGTTTCCCTTCTACAGAGCCAGCCAGAAGGGACCCTGCCTCAGGCCAGGCTTACTGAAGCTTGGGTCTCAGTGCCACCAAACAATGGCAGAAACTCTTGTCTCAGTTTCTGTTTAGACATCAGGAGCCCAGCTCTACCTGGCAGATACATGCTCCAGGTACCTGTCCCAAGGGCTCACCCCATCTAAGCCCATAGCTATCCGGCTATGCATCATACTTCCAAGCAGACACCAGCCCCCACTACAAGGCAGGTGCCTGACACGCATTTCCTCAGTGGCCCCTCGGCAATCGATGCCATCCTTCATCTGGTCCCTTGGCTGTGCACTCCTCCAGACCCTGACCCATGTCATTTGCCACGGCTCCCCTGCAGACATTCTTTTGGGGCTTCTTCCTCGCCCCTTAGCCAGGACTCAGGCCCTTTGACACCAAGACTCCAGTAGCTCTAGAAGAGTTTGGAGCATGGGCTGGAAGTACCCCCATTCCCTAACCCAAGGACCTGAAGGACAGACAGCAGATTGCACCCGCCTCCCCAACAGGAACCAGCGCACCTTGCAACAGAACTCCCAAGAGGGTGACAGTAGCCAGAAGAGCCACATCGTCCTTCATGGTGCCAGTCACAGAGTCAGCTGGAAGGTTCTTATCAGCCAGTGTGCTGCTTAGAACTGGCCCAGGAGAGGAAGAACCTCAGTACCCACCCCACCCCTTCTCAGTAGAGGCGGGGAGGGGTGGGGGCCTGATTGTATCCACAGAGGCAGGAAGCCTGGCTAGGCTGGGAAGGTAGAAACCAGGCCTGTGACAGCTCAGCCACTTCCCGCCATTGTTCTTGACCCTTCTGGGTTTAGTCCTGTGATAGTGGTGCTCAAGCTCCTCACCCAGGCCCACCCTAGCCTTGGATGCTTCCAGCCATCATGTCCTCCACGCCCTGTATCTTGGTAGTTTCCCAGTGGCCTTTCAGACCTGCCCTTACTCCTGGGTTCAAGGTCAAGCTCCCAGCCCTGACCTCTCCCACACCTACAATTATTTAACCTGTATAACCTGTACCTGCACCTCTATCTAGGGCTACTCTGTGACGCGTAGTGCTGACACATTCTTCCCAACTCTCTTTGGCTTCATACTGCTGTCCAAGTGTCCTCAGCCACCTACTCCATTCTTGCTCCTTCTCGGCACCCTGAGGCCCACCACCCTCAAAACCCCACAGGCTCATGAATAACAGCGTCTATCCTCACTCGGGCTTTGAGGGAACATTAGTCTCTGGGCCAGTGTGTTTGCCCAGCATCCAACCCGGCTCAAGGCTTAGCCCCATCCTTCCCACAGCAAACAGAGCTGACAATTCCTCCGCTGCCAGACTTCTGATGTAGACACGTGTGCCAGGGCTGATGGGAGAAAGCGAGACCCCGTTCTGGAAACTTCATTAGCAGTTTGGAAAAGGAAGCTCAGCTGATGAAAGCTGAGGATTCACGTTGGTGAGCCCTTGGGGCCCTGGGCCCACCCCCTCTGATGTGTGCGAGGCAAAACAGTCACTTCTCTTTTCTGATGAAGTTGGTTTGAGGCAAATATGGTCAGCAGTGGCAAAGTCCAGATTGGTCTGGAGCCGCAGGTGAAAGGAGCAGACCAGCGTAGGACAGGAGAGGGTGGATGCTAAGGAATTAATTGCCTCAGTACCAAATCTACACCTCCTGCATAAGCTCCTGCAGCCGGCTTGGTCATATCAATGGGAGTCTTCAGACATCAGGGGCATCCTTGGGAGCTGTACCTTTGCCACAGAGCCAGCCTCCTTCCTTGCTCTCCTTAAGCCCAAGGGCCAGCCTGAGGCCTTGTCCCTGTGGGCTCTCCCAGAAGCCCTGTCACTTTGTTCATCATTGTGCCCAGGAAATCCAATGAGTCCCAGCTGGGGCTCTGCAGGCTTCTCAGGGCAGAGCTGGGTTTTATGCTGGTCCCCGCTTTTCACCAAGGTGTACTAACAATAGCCCGTGCTCAGTGATGGGCAGGATAGCTGGTGCTCAGTGATAGAGGAATGGGCAGGACACAAGCATCCCATGGCAAGATGGGCTGTATCCTTATGTGCTGTCTTACCTTTTAACCCCTCCCTCCCTGAAGCTGCCCTGATGGCAGCCTCCTCTGTCTACACTCCCAATGCCAACTGGATATCCTGAAGTTTGGAACCCAGGCATTGGCATGGCGCTGGCAGGTGGTCCTCCTGTATGCCCATGAGAATGAGGTGCCTGTGTGCATGCCCATCCGCAAGCAAACGTATCCGTGTGTCTGTGCTTGCGGGTGTGGGTGCTCATGGGTACAGGCTTCAAGCCAGTCTGTGTTTGTGCTACTTCAGGCTCAGCTCTGCCAAGCTGGCATTTCCTCCAAGGCTCACATATCTGCCTATCCATTCTCTCTGGCCTGGCAACAGGAAATAGAGGCCTGACATCAGCAACTCCTCAGGAAGTCTGTGAGCAGATGTTCAGGGCAGAGACAAGGGTCTCAGTCTCTTGGAGGAGGGAGGCTGCTTGTTGGTTCCGGCCCAGCTAGTTTAGACCCGAAATAATCACACAGATACTGTATTAATTAAACCACTGTTTGGCCCATTAGTTCTAGCTTCTTATTGGCTAACTCTTACATCTTAATTTAACCCATCTCCATTAATCTGTATATTGCCATGTCGCTGTGGCTTACCGGGTAAACTTCCCAGCATCTGTCTCCAGCAGCTCCATGGCTTCTCTCTGACTCCGCCCTTCTTTCCTCCCAGCATACAGCCTAGCTCCCCCCCCCCCCCCCCCCCCGCCTAGTTCTGTTCTTTCCTGCCATAGGCTCAAAGCAGTTCTTTATTCATTAACAGTAACCACAGCACACAGAGGGAAATCCCACATCAATCCCTGACTCTCCTGATCTCCTTTACTCCTATGCTGTGCTCTGACTTCGCCTAATTTCCGAGGACTCTACTGGGCCTGCCTACCCTCTAACCAAAGAGCTGTATGTTATGAATACCATTGGTTAATAAAGAAGCTGTCTTGAGCCTGTGATAGGGTAGAGTAGAACTAGGTGGGGAAAACTAAACTGAATGCTGGGAGAAAGGAGGTGGAGTCAGAGAAAAGCCATGTAACCCCGCCAGAGACAGACGTCAGTAGGAATCTTGCTGATAAGCCACAGCCGTGTGGCGATACAGATTACTAGAAATGGGTTAAATTATGATGTAAGAGTTAGCCAATAAGAAGTTAGAGCTAATGGGCCAAGCAATGATTTAATTAATACAGTTTCTGTGTGGTTATTTTGGTTCTGGGCAGCTGGGACAAAGAAGTGGCCTTACTACAACAAAGAGCCAGTCCAGCAGGCACCAACACCATCCTCCCTGAACCCTGAAAGATATACCCTTCCTGACTCAGCCCCTACATGGCCCTGCGAAGTCTTCTGGAGACTGAGTTCATGAGTGACGTCTGGCAGGTGGGAAGGCCAGCAGACCACAAGGATGGAAAGGAACCATTGTTTCTGCCCTGGACCTAGCAGCTGTGCACAGTCAGACCCTTGACTCTAGGCTGGACGTGAAAGGTGCGTATATGCCCATGATCTCTGCCCTTGGGAGGCTGGGGCAAGAGGATGGAGAGTCTCAGGCCAGCCTGGGCTACGTAAGAGGCATGCTTCTATTGTAGACTGCAGGGAGGAATTCCCACATGCCTTTCACCAGCTTCCTCCAATATTAAAATACTGTGTTGTGTAACCAGAACCCAAGCCTGCAAGCCAACACAGTAGCACAGACAGAAGGCCACCAGGCCAGTTTATAGCTCGCATTCGTGTTTCATCAGCTTTCCCACAAAGAGTGCCAAGGCCTCAAAAGATGCTGAGTTCTGTCAGACACACAAAGCCACGTGTTGTTTGATTCTACAAGCATGAAGCGGCCAGAAAAGGCAAATGATACTATAGACAGTGCAAAAACCATTCTGTGATTCCCTGGGGCTGAGAGCATTGGGTGGCTACAGTGTTGGTATGTGTGCCACACTGCAGGTTGGACTTAGGGCTTTGCACATCTTCAGCAGGTGTTTCACCATTCAGCTATGTCCCTAGGCCATTTTTTTACCTTACGTTTTCGGCAGGATCACTAAGTTTCCGAGGTTGGCCTTAAACTCACTCTGGCTCAGGCAGGACCTTGATCTGTGCTCTTCCCCTCAGCTGGGATTATTGACATTCACCAAAAGGCCCATGACTATTTTAAAAGACCAAGGAAGGTGTGGTGGCACACTCCCTTAATCTAGCACTTGGGAGGCAGAGGCAGGCAGATCTCAGTGAGTTCGAGGCTAGCCTCGTCTACAAAGAGAGTTTTAGAACAGCCAACACTATTATACAAAGAAACTCTGTCTCCAAAAAACCAAACCTCTTCCCCCCAAAAAGAAGGTATTCTTTTTATCCAGGCCTTCTTCCCCAGATGCCAAGCTTTTTTTTAAAAAAAATATTTATTTATTATATATATAATAATCTGTCTGCATGTATGTCTGCAGGCCAGAAGAGGGCACCAGACCTCATTACAGATGGTTGTGAGCCACCATGTGGTTGCTGGAATTGAACTCAGGACCTTTGGAAGAGTAGGCAATGCTCTTAACCTCTGAGCCATCTCTTCAGCCTGATGCCAAACTTTTAAAAAATGACAATACAGTTACCGACCCCAGTTATTAGTACTGATGTGAACCTATTCACTAATCTGTGCATTGTTTGTTTTCATTACTAGAGGCAAGTTATTTTATAGAGAAAAGGGCTTTTGTTACGGACACAGAGTCCAAACAGTCCACATAGTTCCAAAATACAGACTGCTGGGGGCTGGGAGCTGCAGAGGGCGCTGTGTCTCACTGCAGCATGAGTGTGTGTGTATCTGTATGTTCAGCGTCCATGTGCTTCTCTGTGTGGTCACACTACCTTCCCTTTCTTTATGAAGCTTCGAGGGTTCAATCCTGAGGGATCCACTCTCATGAGCAGATCTAACCTAATCACGTCCCGAGGCCTCGCCGCTAGATACAGTAACCTGGTTAGCATCTTACTCGCTGACACTGTGAACACAGGGCTCTGAGAATCAGACTCCTGCATGACCTTGGAGGGGACACATGGTTATAACATAGACCATATTCAAAGTTCCACAATTACCTCAGAGTGTCCTTTTTCTTTCTTTCTTTTTTTTTTTTGTTTTTTGTTTTTTTTTTTTTTGTTTTTGTTTTTTCAAGACAGGGTTTCTCTGTGGCTTTGGAGCCTGTCCTGGAACTAGCTCTTGTAGACCAGGCTGGTCTTGAACTCACAGAGATCCGCCTGCCTCTGCCTCCCAAGTGCTGGGATTAAAGGCATGCGCCACCACCGCCCGGCTTCTAGGATGGCTTTGAACCCTCACAGATTGCCTGCCTCTGCCTCCCTGAGTGCTGGGATTAAAGGTGTGCAATACCACCGCCTGGCCAGAGTCTTAGTCTTATTTATAAACATCCAGCCTTGACTTGTTTCTTGGCGCCTGTCCTGGAACTAGCTCTTGTAGACCAGGCTGGCCTCGAACTCAGAGATCTGCCTGCCTCTGCCTCCCAAGTGCTGGGATTAAAGGTGTGTGCTACTACTTCCTAGCTCTTGCCTGATTTTCTTAATTTAAATTACCCCATCTACTTTTTGTCTCTGGGCTTTTCCTGT